AGCTTTCCACAACACTGCATACTCGGTTCAACTACCTTACATAGCCGGCCTGTCCCTTTAAATTAAAACTTATATAAACACATAAGTCCGCTTTTAAAATTGTTGAATTGTAGGACAAAATTCAAATTGAAGGAACCGAATGATGATAGGTGACTGCAAAAATATTTTGTTTAAATTAATCATTACACATACGTGCAAAGAAGGTTTAAATTTATAGAAACAGTAAAATCTATACATAACGGTTTTTATTTGCTTTAGTTTAATATGCTTTAGTGTTAAGTCAGGAAAACCAAAGATTTTAGGCAATCTTTTTATGTTCAAAAGTTTTAGTTTATGTATATGTAGCTTAACCATATCTGTTTCAAAAGTTCACATCTCTGTCCTAATAGTCAGTGTGTCTTCACTAACTAGAGTGCCCGGCGCCATGCCCAGGTTTAAACTATTATCCATAGACATATTCCCGCCGTTTACCCGCGCTTGGTATTAAATCCTGGTTTTAGCTAAAGCACCTTGTGTTAACCATGGAAATCAATATCGTCCAAAAATGTTTAGCCTATGTAACTCATCGGGTACCCAATCCATGGGTTCCCGAAAAAAATCAGGGAATTTGTTCCTGCCGTTTGTACAGCTGTAACGAACTTATATAAATACATATATATGAGCGAAGAGATTTCTTACTGTCCATTAGTTAGGATTTTCATAATATCCATGTTCTACTTAAATAAAAAAATTTTAAAACATGAAAACACTTTTTTCAGATAAAATATTTTTAGAATTGTTTATTTCGTGGTAGAGTGTTTTTTTTAAAAGTTTGACCCATTATTTTTCTAGCTTGATCAAGAAATGTGTGCTACAACACAACAAAAAATTAGTCTAAAAATTTAGGATTTATTTACTCAATTAATGATAATATTTTTGACGCTAATATAAATATTTCGCATAAATATTTATATAATCTTCAGAATTTAAATAATTATTATTCAAATATAGTTTTTATGAAAAATAACGATTTCGTAAAGTTTCTGTTTTTACGTTTGTATACCTGACTTGATTGGATACCAATTAGATTTTAACTATTCAGTTGCCGACACTTTGACATTTTAGAAGACATTTACAATATCATTACCTTGTTGTTACTTGAAGTCATTGGGAACACATGCTAAAAGGAAATTTCAGAAAAAACTTGTTTTTTGTGGTTTTTGTACCATCTAAAATATCAAATACTATTTTTGCACCATTAAAATATCAAATGATTTTTTTGTACCATCTAAAATATAAAATGCTATTTTTGTATCATCTAAAATATCTAATGCTATTTTTGTACCATCTAAAATATGTAATGCTATCTTTATACCATCTAAAATATCAAATGCTATTTTTGTACCATCTAAAATATCTAATGTTATTTTTGTACCATCTAAAATATCTAATGTTATTTTTATACCATCTAAAATATCTAATGCTATCTTTATACCATCTAAAATATCTAATGCTATCTTTATACCATCTAAAATATCAAATGCTATTTTGTACCATCTAAAATATCTAATGCTATCTTTATACCATCTAAAATATCTAATGCTATCTTTATACCATCTAAAATATCAAATGCTATTTTGTACCATCTAAAATATCTAATGTTATTTTTAACTGAACAAACAAAAATTAAATAAACGTCTCTTGACTTAATGATAAATATCAAATAAATGTCAATTTCTGATCTAACTTGATTTCATATTCAATGTTAAAACGACAAAGAGCATTTTTTTAATTATTGATGAAACTGCATCAGAGATGTATAATTAGAATCCTCACGACAAAGATTGTTACCTCTTACCACTACCTAAATATCTGAACAATCACTTATTGAATAAAATTTCGATCAATCAAGAATAAAAGTTGAATAATTGTCATGTTCTCTCTCTTAGATTTGGAATACCTTTTCCACTAAGGATTCGGTATTGTGTAAATTTCAACTTAATTATTTATGAAATCGTACACTGTAAAACTGAAAGGTCTTTATCAGTTATTACAAATATGAAAATTCTTATGTGAAGAAACGTTAAAGACGACATTCTGATGGTCTTCGTGGCACTGAATGTTAAAATATCACCTTTTCAAGATCAGTTGAGCGCAATTCATGATTGATATTTGTATAGTGGAGTTTAATTACAGCGTTGATAAGAAAATGTAAATAAAGATGATTTTTAAAGATGTATGTTTTATACCAGCACACATGTACTAGTCATAATAAACCCTGCAGAGTGATCATATATAGATTTAGAACTAATAAACATATAAAAATATAACAAGTTGAAAATATATACCTAGACATATTAAATGAATATATAGAGATATCAAGTATATATATATTACATTGCTGAACTGCCCGGTGTTGCCCAGGTTACTCATAGTTACTCCAGC